TACAGACTTAAAAACTTCTAAAGATGAGGGGAAAAATATTGATACATTAAAATATCACAATATCTTCATATGCTGATATATTGCCATTTAAAAACACCATATCAATCTCTTTTACTTATGAAATATTGCTATATGTCACCGAAATTTTGCCATATTTTTATATGTTGATATATTGACGCGGTATCATACTATTTTACTAACAAAATCTCACAAGAATTTGCAAAATATCACGAGAGTTTGTAACAGAACGATGAAATTTCACAAGATTTTGAAAGTAAAATAGATCGATACCGCGTTTTTAAAAATCAATTTGATATCAGCATATGAAAATATATTTGAGTATATTATTTTTCAAAGTGTCAGAAATGGATAACAAAACTGCTATTTTCAATGACTACTTATTTTTGTCCAGCTTTAACATCGGTATCGGTTATCGGCTACATGAGTTTTAAAATATCGGCATATCGGATATCGGCCAAAATCTCAATATCTTGCATCCCTAGTTATTATACCAAGCTTGAAAAACATAAATAAACATTTTGCATTTAAGATAAAAAAAAACAATTCTTCTGTTAATATGCTCTATCCAGAACTCCTTAAGTGGAAAGTTTTGGTTTCACCTGGATAAGGGAACGATTGCATTGCAAAATTATCGTTTGTTAGTTGCAGCCCTAATTTCATCAGAACCAAGCTGGGATTTTTGCTAACTGCTGTGGTCCTTATTATTAGCAACATGGCATGACAGGTATTAAACCCAGATATTAAACCCTGACATGTTCCGAGACATCTCTTTTCCAAGATGGAACAACAAATGGAGGAAAAATCACAGGAAACACTAAGGGGTCACCGTGGGACCTACTAACTCTTGTTAATGTAGATACTAAAGTGCTTCCATGTGTGACCAGAAAAAGTTGGCACAAGTTTTCTTTCATGGATCGATGTGCAAACGCTGGTTTATAGACTTATAAGTCTAAACCCGAATTATAAAAAACACCAGTATTAAAAGAAAAGATCCTGATATCAGCTGTGAAGCACAGAGCTGGAGGTGGCATAAGAACCTGGCCAGCTCACCATCATAGAAGCAACACTTAGTCAACTATGAATTAAACGGCTCATGAGGAAATTAGAAAAAAGGTCAAAAATTCAAGCTGGAGCAGAAGAGGATCGTGTGTCACAACGACCTAGAACATTCCAGTAAGTCTGCCGATGACTGTTTGGGAATTAGGAAATATTCTTTGGCTGACTCAAAGCCCGGATGTTAGGTCTCATGGAGATGTCATGGGGTGATTCAAAGTGGACCGTCCATGCAAAAAAAAAGGCAAACATCTTTTAAGTGACAAATGGGATTTTTTTCCCCTTAGACTGGTTGTTAGATATGGGTAGAAGGCTATGAGAAATGTCTGGTTGGGTGGGTAGGTTCAAGCTAGGTTGGTGGGTTGGTCAAACTATTTTCCTCAGCATGAACTCTGGAAAAGAAAGCTTTCAAGATGATGAAAATACTAAAACCCTAAGATAAAACATCTGCAAGATTGTGGTAAAGGTAAAATCAGAATCAATATTGGTTGAAAATAATAGCTATTGTTCAGCCCTGATCTAAAGGCAAACTGATTGAACCCAAAGTAGCTCTACTATGTAGCATGTAAACAAAATTTTACATGCATGTCTTAAAGTTTTAACTAGCATGCATCAACAATCTGAAAAAGTAAACAAATATGAACTTCATTCATAACTACGCCTGTTCGAACTGCACTAGGACTAGCATGGATGGTTCTAGATAGGGGCCATCAGGGGCCATCAGGGGCCAGTGCATCCTGTATAACTGAACCCAGCTCCCATAATGGTCTCTGTATGGAGAAATATACTCCACAAAATTTAAATATGGATAAGTGAACAAAAATAATTGGTTTTTGGTGTTGATCTGAGCAGCTAGACAATTTGCCAATGGCATGAGATAATTTACATTTAAAATAAGAAACAAAACCCCAATTAACTTATTTCAAATTAGTTAATGCAGTTCTAAAATCTAATTATCTTGTTTTTTAAAAACACAAATACTTATCCTTTGGCAGATCATTTTATTTACCTGCTTAAATTAACCCATTAAACCTTAGACTATGAAATAATTGACAGAAAATTCTATTTTTTTTATTAGAGTTGTTATTGAACTTTCAGACAAATTACAGTTAAAGTTAAATTATACATTATGCATTTCTGCATAATCTGTTTTATATTTTCTACATGTGTCTTAGTATGTAATTCAAAGTTTTCAAGAACAAAAATTTCCAATTGATGATGGAGAGGTCGCAAAAACCCAGGTATCAAATAGGATACATTTGGCTTCAAAGGGTTAAGGAGAAAAAAGGACTTGATAAAATGTACTTTTTCGATCAGTTTTTGTTGTTTAATACTAAATCAATTACTTATAATGATAATGTACAGGCATGTTGCATAATTTGTCTCTTGGACCAATAGATTTATTTTCCCTTTGCAGATTACTTTGCAGTTATTTAAGCTTCACTCGAACGGAGATCAGATCAGAGTTTTCATGTAAGATCAAGGGTCTGCAAGCTTGGTTTTAAGGCACAGTTAATATAATAAGTGATGCACTCTTTAACAGTTTGTTTGTTTTTCTTATTTCTTTGGTATTCTTTTCTTCTATGCCCCACCTATAAATTTAATCGAGAACAACCACAGCCAACCAATGAGGTCAGCCAGCGCCGGCCAGCCTGGGATCTCTGTCGCTCAGCCTCTGTCAACAACTTTGCTTCTTTGACTCCTGCGCTGGCTGACGCTTAACACAAACAACAAGTGCCAGCACACCAAAAATAAGCCGGCCTTCTTTCAAAGAATCAAGAAAAATCTTTCTTGAGATATAAAAACACACTTTTTACAACCCAACTAGTCAACAAGTGGTACCCAGAGCTCCTGCCCCCGAGGCAAAAGAGGGGGCATTCATTTGCAGCACTGGGCTCGCAGCCAAGCATCCAGATTCTTAGGGGCATGCCACCGGTTGCCAACCTGGGGGTGCCTGCTTTATTGGCTGTACAGCTGCTACTGCTCAAATGAGACTGCAAACCCTCAAAAACATGCCTCGGTCCAAGGTTTTGAGAAGTTGGGTCTTACAAACACACACCAGAGGGAAATTACAACCATACTACACTTTGATGCACACAAAAGGCAACAGGGACCCACACGTGAAGCTACTAACAGTGCTCAGCAGACTCCTCCTCCTCTGCTTTATGGCTTGTTTTCGACCGTGGTGGGAATTGAGTCTGGCTGAAAGAGACTTGACCATTGTGCTGCGATCCTTCTCTGCACATTGCCTGCACTGGTGGCTGCAATGGTATAGAGCCAAAGCTTTTGTTTGCACAAAAACTGCATCCAAACATGTAATGGTACAGAAATAGTATGAAAATCACTTCATATGTGACACCAATATCTGACACACAAGAAGGAGGAGGTAAGAATTTCTAATCTGTGTGTTGAAAAATAGCTGATTACTCAGTCTTTAGTCATTCTCCCTCCCTCCCTCACTAGAGGGAGAAAACAACACATGACAAGAAACACTGGGCTGCCTTCTCCGGCTCATACAGACTTTATCTGGTTAGGATTGTGTAATTAGGTAATCATTATGGCCTCATGTTTGGATATATTAAGAAATACCCTTAACAGGATCATGTGGCTGTACAATAAGGCTGCATGATCTACTTCTAATCTGCACAGATTTTTTTCTTTTCTTTATAGGCATAGATTAATACCTAGAGCGGCACACTGGTAGGGGTGTCCCATTCAATCTTTCTATTGTTAATTTGCAGATCCTGCCAATGGGAATGCAGCATCTTACATTGTTCTGGCCACTGGCAGCTGGCAAAAAGATGCCTCTGAAAAAAAAAATCATTGTTCTATACAGAAACTTTACCGAATTTGAATATCTCCAACTGTAAAAGCTATGAGGCTTAAACTGTGATAGAGTTCAGATCAAAGAGTGATCCAGATTAAGTTTATTCTGCACCACAGAGAAATTCAATAAGATTAACATTGGTCTCAATAAAACCTTTATTTTAATTTGTAAATATAAAATTTGCACAATATGAAAGTTTTTTTTTTATTGTAGAGCTGCATAAATAAATAAATTAAAACTAAAACATATAAAAAGAGAAAATGCGTTTTAATTTCTTGGATATTAGTTGTGCTGTTAAACAAAATAAAAATATATTATCAATAATAATTATCCCAAAGTACGCATAAACTTTTTTTTTTCAAAAATCTAAAAGCTGCATATTTTCTGTAAAAAATAAATGAATGAAAGATTATATATTTCCAACCTAAGAAAAAAAAGTAATATTTCCTCATTTTTGAAAAGCTTATCCCCGATCAAAGCAACATTTCTATTTTTCCGCAATTTGATGGATATATGGGGCACCAGCAGCGCGCAATTCAAGCAACAAGCCATCTTCTACCATTGTGTCAACTGAAGCTATTAAGTGTCAGTCTGCATACACGGACATACGCGCTCAAACGACGCAAACTGGACCCGGTGGATGCATTTAAACGCTGCATGCAAAAAATGACTCGCGATTACCGTTTTTCTGCAAAATTGTACATAGAGTCCCTCACATCGGTCCAAAACGCTGCAGCTGCATTCAGAGCCTGTTTGTTTCCTTCATATTACCCACCCTCCAGCCCACATAAACATTGCGCAGGCCCCATCAAGCCCTCTTTGTCCCACATACGTGTCACCGCCAAAAATGACATGACAGCCCATTATTTGATAATAAAAAAAATAAAAATCATGCAATGCAATTGATGCATTAAATGTTTTGGACGATGCATGTTTGGTTTTAGTCGATTATAGATGTGCAGAGAGCGGCGCTGGGGGCTGACACCGTTAAATCCGCTCCGTGCAGGAAGCGGTTAAACGCTGCAAAACGCCGCAGAACAACAACAGAGGAGCGCAGCCTGCCGGTGGCCCGTTTAAAAAAGAGAAAGCAGAAACAGACCTTCAGGCTGGATTTGAGTGGTCCTTTGGATCCAGCGGCTATCTCCTCCTCGGTGAACTCCTTCAGGCTTCCGTCCTGCATGAGCACGGTGTAGACGCTGCGCCGGGCTCCAGCGGCCGATGCGTCCCTGTTTTCCTGCTTGACAGCCTGGACCACTCCTGTCACCGGGGCTCCGTCCCCCGTCGGGCTCGGCGCATAGACGCGGCTGCCGAGGATCGAGCGCTTCACCAGGCGCCTTGTGTGCATCTCTGCAGAAAGAGAGAGAGTCTATCCCCGTATTCAAACTGACTTTAACACATCGGACGCCGAAACGCCGCCGGTAAACAAATCGTCGGGGAAAAAGCAGAAGACCGCAGCGTTAGGACTACGAAAACCTGGGGAAAAAAGGTCGAAAAGCAACAACATGCTCAGAGGAGAGGCGGAAAAAACTTCCGAACTACGTCTCGGATCCGAAAGGAATCGAATCGAATAACTTTGAAATTTGCACCATACGGCATGAAGACGGACCCTGAGCAGCCTTCACATTCAGCCGGCTACCGAGCTTCCACCGTCCGACCTGTTTGTTTTCCCTACTGCTCCGAGCGAGCTGCGCGCAGTTAGAAAAACACGGAGCGATCACAGCCCACCTAGAGCCCAAACAACAGTCGTTCACGATTACACAAAGTGACGAAATAATCAAGTAAAAACGTCCTAAATAAACACCCACAACTTCAATTACGTCGAGTCGTGTAAGTCTACGCCGAAGAACACATCGCTACCCTGCTTTATGTGTTGAAAATGACTAAAATGTGACCGCATGATGACCCTGGTTCCGGCACGTCTTTAAATCCAGTCCGAGTTTTCACTCCGACCGAATGGGGCCTCTACCGGCAGATCGCTGCCTGTAAACATGTGCGGTCCGGCAGCCAAGGCGGGCTCGCAATTGGACGATGAAGCACACGCCTCCACGAGCCCCCACCTCTCCACCCCATCCTTTTCCTGCAAAGGAGGGTAATGCAAGTCTTGGAGGATGTTCCATTCAAAACAATGACGCAAGGATGGAAAGAAAACGAGATGGGAGGGTGGGTGGATGAAGGAAAGCAGAGAAAAAGGGAAATTTGGGCTATAGAAAAAAAAAAAAAAAACTTACACGAGACAGACAAGCTTTATTCCTCAACCTACTTGTAGATGAATGTGACCTACTTTTAAAGTACCATGGGGCTGGGAAATTTCTCTGATCTGGTAGAAATAAAACATGTAGTGCAGGATGCTAAGTGAATCTAACAATTTCAGAAACTTGTAAAACTGTAGATTTGATCAGTTTATATATTACCTTTAAACACTTTGCCAAATCAGAAACACATAAAAATACCAACCTGAATTGCTACTTTTTGTTATTTTCTTATAGACTATAGGTTTTCTGTATTTTTAACTATTTTAAAGAAGCACTAACCGGAGTCCTTAAATACACTTTAAATGAAAAAAACTTTTTGTCATGCAAATGACAAAGAAGGTAGTTTTTCTTTGCATCCAAATCATTTATCAGGTTCACCTAACCAGCCATTGGCTGTATACAGCCCTTTCTTGTTGACCTATCATGCATCACCTCTGATCCCAAAATCCAATATGTCTGCCTCAGATGAAAATATTTACAGTTAGAGCTGAGTAGCAGGAGGCTCGCAGCACAGTACTAGTTTGTTTGCACTTCTGAACAATTGTTTCTTGCTTTTTCTTTTAATTAAGCAACAATGTACAACATTTTACAAACAAAATACACAAAAAAATGAAAACTTGTTAAGGTGCACCTTAAAAATAAAATCTACATTTAAAATATAAACAGGTAGAAACTAATTCTAATATCATCACAACTGCTAGTATCACAAAGAGCCATTTAAGTGGAATTAAAACATGTATTATATATTTATTTGTTAACAGGTACTGCTAACATATATAGCATTATTATTAAATCCCTTATAGTGTTCAAGCATGGAACTGCACCCTCTCTGGAATATTTCTGGTTTACTTAAACTTATTAATTTTTCATTATGGTTAATTTGTTTAGATTTACATTGAGATATTACCTAAACATCTGAGAACAACTATTGGTACTTTGTGAGTAATAGATTGTTGTATTCGCATACATGTCAGTTTCCTTTAACTATGAGAGTCTGAATTCACTGCTTAGATAAACGAAGCCAAAATGTTTTGGGTTTTTTTCTCCCATGTCCTTAGTCTAAAGACAAAAGCACATTTGATGTGAATGTATCATAACAAATCTCCATACTTTGGTCAAGTACAGGTTACACTATGACAAACAGCCCAAACCCCAAACAAACCCTTACTGAACCTGGCTTTCAATCACTAAATTAGGACTTGATTTCTAAAATTGCTATTTTTATTTAGTAATTAGCCTTAAATGGCCCGATTAACATCAATATTCTAGGATAATTAGGAATATTTCGTAGAAAAAAGAAGATGCTAAATGTGAGACAAAAATGCTGCATAATGGACCAGTTCTCAGTGTGTGGCCTGAAGAAGGAAACCCTTAAATCTGAGATGACCCGTCAAAGTGATCAAACTTTATTAAATTATTTTTACAAGCACAAATACCAAAGGGTGTTGATTCAGCACAAACAGCTATGTTTATTTATCCATTTAGAAAGTTCAATACAAAAGCAATGTGCAATTTATACGCCCCACTATGACAAATCTTTTACAGAAAATATCATCTGAAAGTAAAATGATGCTTGGCTTTGAGACACTTTTACAAACAGAAACTGGAAAATGTGGACTGTGTTTATATTCAGTCCGATTTCGAGTTGATACCACAAAATAAAACCCGATCTGGAGATTCTCATTTTCTTTTTTTTTTGTGTGTCGTTAACACAAAAAAATCTGGTTGTTCTGTAAAGGGTTATTCCGAGGGCAAAGGATTAGACTGCAAATAGCATCATGAAGGGCATGAAAGTTAGACATAGGGTTAGATTATAAAATGGCCTTGCCCACCGTATATATATATATATCTGGTCTCCTATCCTCGATTTGTTCTCTTTGGTCAGCTGATCAGCTACTTTTGTCAGTACCGAGAACAAGGCCTAAGCTCACAGAGGACCTTCTCTGTATTCGGTTCCAAACTCTGGAATAATTTGCTTCTAAATATCAGGCAGATTTCCACTTTGCAATTTTTAAATCTCTTTCCAATTCTCATCTTTAGATGTTGGAGATTGGCCTGTTTTCCAGTGTAGTCTTGTTTCTCTGACTGTGACTAGCTGGATGTGCTCTCTTCATCCTCTGACATGGGAGCTAGGGACAGACCTCATCTGCTTGACTGTGCCGCCTTTTATAGTTGTTTTTTCTATCTCTGCTTCTGTCTCCTTGAACCCCAGTCGGCCTCGGCAGATGGCCGCTCACACCGAGCCTGGTTCTGCTGGAGGTTTATTCCTGTTAAAAGGGAGTTTTTCCTCTCCACTGTTGCTACAAGCATGCTTATTGTGCGGGATTGCATTTGAGTCAATGAGTCGATGCACTCAACTGGTTTTCCTTAGATAGAAAACTTTGGTGAACTGTAAAGTGCCTTGAGATGACATGTGTTGTGAATTGGCGCTATATAAATAAACGGAATTGAATTGAAATCTTTTCTCTTTGATGTTAAACCCTCAAGGAGATGTTCATGCTCCTTGATTTTGTTTTTTTCTTTTATTTTCTATAAAGTTTTTACTTATTTTTCATATTGTTTTTATTATATTTAGTGCTTTTAATATTGTTTCTATTATTTGCCTTTGTGCAGCACTTCAATCCTATTGGTTTTTAAAGTGCTATATAAATTAAGTTGGGCTGGATTAAATGAAACAATATCTCACACTAAACCCCTAATGGTGATGGCTCAGATCAATACCTGACAATAGAAAGTGTTTGGAACATCTACAGACAGATCAAGACATGAAGGTCCACACTGAGCAGCAGAAGAGCATTTATCAGAGACGGCAAAGAGGTCCATGTTTACTCCAGAGGAACAGTAGAGATTCACAGCTCTGGTGAGAGAATATGCTGACAGGACATGACAGGACAGTCATGCACTCTACAAATCTGGCTTCTATAGAGGAGTGGTGTCAAAAAAAAAGAAAAGGAGAACAGACCAAAATCTAAACCTATGGCCTACACGCAAAGCTGTGTGCAAAGGAAGATTAACGCCACATCTCCCAGAACACACCATTACCACGGTGAAATATGATAGTGATAGCGTCACGCTGTTGGGATGCTTTCTCTTCACCGGGGGACAAGGAAGTCTGTCAGAGTTCATGGTAAGATGGATGGAGCTAAATACAAGGCAATAATGGAGGAAAACCTGTTAGAGGCTGCAAAAAACAAAACAAAACTTGAAATCCGATGGATGGAAGGAAAAGGACTTTAGACAAGCTAGAATGGATCTGCTCAGATATAAATATCTATGTTAAAATGTCAGATTTTGATGACGTTGACTAAGCTTGAGCAGATTTGGAGAGAACAGAGAAAAAGTCAGACCTGTAATGTAGGTGTAATACTTTCAATATATATATATTTTTTTATACAGAATTGACTAGAGCAGCCTAAATTCTCAGTATTTATGTTTATGTGAGCCACCATGTGTAATTTCTCCACATCAAAATGATGCAGCTTTTAGTTTTTGGTCTAACACATAAAAAACAACAACTATAAAATACATAAAAGTGTGCTTAGTGAATATGCCGAAATGTGAAAACTTTTAAAAGCTAGGCATTAAACTAGATGTTAAGTTTGGAAGGTTGACATTAGTTTGATTACTCGTATCTACTATGATATCAGCTTATCCAATGTTTATTAATATAATAATGGCATCAAAAGGTGTCTAAATATATAAAAAAATACATTTTAGAGCTATATAATACAAAGAAAACAATATATTTCATCATAATCACAGTTTATTATAAGAGATGTATTAATGCGATCAAAAAAAAAAAAAAACTGCGCAGCAACAGATGTGACTAACTGGCAAAATGGGCCTGGCCCTTAGATCAAGGGCGGGTCTCACCACAGGGTTGTCTGCTGCCTATTTAGCAGGAACAAAGGTCCTCATTACTGGAAAAGAGAAGCCTAAAGACGATGCAGAAGGAGGGGGTCCCCCCTCTCCTTCCCATCAGGGGAATCTGTGTGTTTATATGACCAGGACAGGACGAGAAAGGAGTTTAGGTCTTTTAATGTATGTTGTCCTGATTAGATTTGCACTACAACATCTCCCTTTGGCATTTGCTCAGAGGTCCTTAATAGCATTCTAAGAACATTAAATCCAATTGCATGATATGTAGCTACATTGCTGCAAGCGGGTGCAATACTCTAAAATTTGGAATGCATGTAAAATACTTCCTCAAAGGTCGTGCACTGGGAGATGAAACAATATTTGAAATAATATACATTTAGAGATTGATTACCAGCAACAATCAGGCTGGATGAGCTAAAACCAACAACAAAAATAAGCTTCAGGATGTCTCATGAGAGCAACTGACTGGAGATAATGTAACACTTTAATAGTCGGATTTGGAGGGAAACAGCTGACAATATTTATCTGCAAAAGAAGATACTGTAGTAAACAGAATTAAAAATACAGCAAAATCACAACCAGGTAAACATATTAAAGAGTTTGTGTTGTTTTTTTTTTCCATATTGATGTACCAAAATGATCTTTCAACACTTGTACCAAAATAATTGTACCACCTGACGCACATCTGCTTTGTTAGTTACTACTTTGTTACAATTAACTAAAGAAAATACAACAAAATAAGTTGAACATTCAGAACTTTTCTTAAAAATATAAAAAAATCATACTACTCTGGACATTGAACAATTGAGTACAAGATTACATCACATTTCCTGTGAATAGCAGTCGGTTAAAGGAGTGCTCTAACTACATACATGCCTCATCTGGCATTTCGTCAGCATAAGCTGTTACATAGGTGGATCTAAAATGCATTATGTGCTAAAATTTTACAGGTACAGACCTTCTGGATTCATTAGCATCCATATTAAAGACATGTATAAAGAATTAACGATTAAGCTTTTTATTGTGTAAGACTAAAAAAATGAAAAGATGTTTCAATTTTCATCAGATTAAGGAAAACGCATGTTAAGGAAGTTATTAGGTTTACAAGAAAAAAAATCAAACAGTTTCTAATGAATATTTTACTTTTTAAATGATCACAGCATATAGACGTGTTACTTAAAGTGTAAGAGTTTTAAAATATCAATTTAACTGTAATATTACTAATAGAAGGAAAACTATTTTCCTTGTGGGAAGAATGGTGTGACACAGAGGCTGATTTCTCTTAGGTACTTGGGGAAAAACAGGAGAACAAGAAGTTCAAATAAGCCAAATGTTTTTACGTGTCAGAAAATAATTGCAAGAAATAAGACTAAATCATCCCTTATCTACAGTTAGATCAACTTTTTATATTTTAACATTACTGGAAGGACGAGGAAGTGAAACGAGGCCTCTTGTTTATACAGGCTTTTTTTTATGGATTTTGTTTTAAGATTTTACACTTAAGGCTCATATTTGAACATTTCTTTTGGAATTTTTATCAACATTTTGGACATTTGATTAGGAAACATTTCCCTGGTTGGGTTTTATGAGCCGTTTGATTCTCAAATCTAGATTATGTGGTGTTGTAAAGGGATATTTTACCACATTTTGGCACATGGACCAATTTGGATCAGCTCTCCTTTTTATAAAATCTCTTCAAATAACAGCTTGTAAATCTGCAGTTAATTATCCTTTGATAAAGGTGGATACTTTGATATCGCTAAACCTCTAAGCTTTCTATCAAAACTGAACCAAATGTCTGGTGATTAAGCTGGATCTGTGGTTCCATGGCATCTAAGCAACTAAAAATATATAAGATTATTAGTCTAAGAGGGTCTTAATACCAACATAAGATTAATAAGCATTTTTTTTTTATTTACTGGATGACAATAAATAAAGTATGCGGCCTTTTCTTTATCTTGTAGGTTATTGAATATGTTCATTTTAGAAATAAAAAGCTTTGTTGGATTATACTCAGTAAGAAAAATTTATCAATTGCAATGCTTTTCAAGACTAAAAGGAATTCTATTTATGTTGCAAGCTATAATGGAAAAATAGATTAACTAAAGCTCTAAAGCTCTTTTGCAAAAACTTCAAGTGAGATTGTGAAATAAAAGTGAATGCATTTTTAAGACTTTGAGCACATCTTTAACAGAGATGCTAATAAATGTGGAAGGTTGCTATGAGGTGATAAAGTCTGCAGTACCATTAATCTAATTCAAGTGCTTTGAAGCAAAGTGAAGACTGTACCGAGAAGATTAAAAGTTGCTAATAAACAATACAATAAGGTATGCAGTGTCATTCAAACACATAAGTACTTCAATGTTTGTGAAAACTGACATCCTTACATTTAAAGTAAAGGAACACGTACCTAAAACGCTTCAAACCCGCTTTGCGCTTTCAGCAAATTTCAATTAAAATGCCAGAAACTTCAATAAAAATCCTCTCACAGACACAATCAGAAACATTTCACAATTACACAATTACATTAATAAACATTTTCAAATAAATATGATTTGTACAAAAACCCTTTCCGTTTAAGGAAAGTCCAGATGTACAATGAAACCCTAAGCTCGAGTGAAAAATCACCCTGTTTTTTCTTCTCAGTGACGGTTTTTCAATCTTTCAGACATCAAGCCCAGAAAAGCAGGGAGCTGTCACTGATGGAGTATGCGACCAAATATCATTGCCGTTTGGTCGTCAAATGCCTCTTTTCTTTTCCTATCAGAAACTACTTCACAGGAACAGCTAGTGAGAATGCACAGTGAAGGTGCTCCTAACCTGACAAAGGCAGACCTAGGACACATTTCGGCGCTTAAACAAAATATGACTCAAAGCTTGACAGACTAAATGCTGCAGAGAGGACATACAGATAATACAGTTAGTGACTGATTTATACGCAAGTTATATGGCACTAGATTGATATCTTTTCATCTCTTCTGATCATGTGTAGAGAATATGTTGAGATTGGATAATTTAATAATCCAGAGTTCTTAAGGCCTTGCAGTACCGCTTTCACTCTGATAGACAAATATGATCAACTGTACCGAAGCAGTAAAGAAGATGTACACTTATGATGGAAGCAGTTTGCATCAAAGGCATCCTAAAAAGCTGCTTCAAAGTGCTACTATAAAGATGCAACCTCAAGCAGTCGACTCAAAGGCGAGACATTTCCCGATCCAGACCCAGCTCTCCAACACTTTCGTAGTCAGGTTCTGGCTTGGCGTTCCCGCCTATGTGATCATCGTCCGAGCTGCCAGTTTTTGGGATGCGGATTGATTCGTAGCCGGGATCTGAGCTGTCATTATGAGGCATTTCGCCTGTTTGGGGGTCATCAGGTTGAGCGTATAGGTCGTGGACGGTGGCATAGAGGTCGCTTGAGGACGAGGCCGGGACCAGACCTTTGAGCTCGGCGATGCTGCTGTAGTCGTGCTCTTTGTCTTCCTCGTTAATGGCCTGGTCGCAGTTCGGCTTGTTAACAGTAGAGTATAGCTGGGACTGAAACATGGACAAAGAAGAAACAATAAACACATCACACAGGACGTAATAGAGGTGTGCATGACATTGCACTCATAAGCATGGCCAGCTCTAAGCAGGGGAAAAGGGTGGCCGGTGCCCTTTTTAGAACTGGCCATGTTCTAAAACACGGCTCTCCACAACCACTATTGAGCATTTTTTCTTTGGATAAACTTTATATGCACAATTGCACTCTCACAAACAACTACAGGTGCTTGATTCCAGGTACTCAGAGATTCACTTCCATACAGAAAGCCCACATTCTTATCGTCAGGTAACACAGAGTACATGTCAGATTAAATAATATTACTTCAGCAATAGTTTCAAGGTATTACTTTATTGTATCGTACCATGTCTGTTGGTTGTGCTGTTCTTATTACATCTTGTTGCAGGTGATGAAGCAGACTGAAGATGTTTTATCATTATCTCCCTTCTATTTCCTCCTTTTTTTTGTTTTTCCTCTTCTGTTCTATTTACATTGCAGTGTCCATATAATCTATAATACTCCCTGCATAATTATAATAAAGCAATTTATATGCATGAAACAAGCGGAACACTATGGCCATAGCCGTACTGCTCCACTTGTGAAAGTAAAATCTGTTGGGCTCTTTTTGGCATCAAGACAATTATTCTTGTTGCCACATTGCCAGACAGGACACTGTTAAAAAAAAAAAAAAAAAACTGGCCATGTCCCCCTGTCATGGTCCCTTTACTAAAGACATAACACATAATAATTTATGTTAAATAAACAATGACATCCACTGACACAGGAACCACAACTAATAAACGATGATGCAAAAATTCAACTGTTGCACTTTTAGCTTTGGTGTTATTAAGATACGATCATATTCTTTTATCTGCTATGTCTAAGAATCTTATAGCAGATTATAGCTCTTAATATTCTTTTTTCTTTCTGCATTTTTTTTTATTCTCTTTATTTTCCTATATTTTAATCATGTAAAGCACTTTGCATTGTCTTTGTACTGAATTGTGCTTTACAAATAAATTTGCCTTGCCTTGACTTGCCTTTTGGTTTCCTTAAACTTAAACGATTAACTGTTTTTGGATTTATTCTTTTGAAAAACCACTAACCTCACTTTGCCCCCCTTGGTAAATTTGGTCTAGAACCGCCACAGTTCATGTGACAATGTAATTGTTATCAAAGATCCTTAAATAAAATAATCTTTAGCTACACTTTCTGGAGAAACAAATTTTTTTTTTGCTGTTTTTCATGTCAAATTTCAAAAACCAACAACTGTTATCTACAGGAAAGTAAAATAGAAAAGCCACATTTGACTTTCGAATAAAAAAAACATACTGTGCTGCTGTCTTAGAACTGAAAAAAGGCAGGCTTGGGACAAAGAGAGTTGTACAGACTTACAGCGTTATCGGACTGTGGATGATCTCCAAACTCCGGCGGAGGAGACACAGGGGATTCTAACTGTGGAACAACACAGAAAAAAAGATTTAGATGTGAAAGCAAAGGAAGGAGAAGAGTCCATCCAGAAGTGTGGCTCCAGAGCCTTTTAAGGGTTGACTTTATTAAGCGACACATCGATGGTTTTCTGTAGGCAACATGTTGCTACAAAAAAAAAAATGCTTTGAAATTTGAGGATTTTTATGATTTTTTCTTTATTAATTTCCCCTAAATAACTGGGTAAACATGGGTAAGATTTTTTCTTTTCAAGAGACAAAAGAAAAGAAAGTAAAAATAAAATATGTGGATCCACAACACGGGTAGGACCTGGAAAAAGAGCGAATTGATCCACAGCCTCCTTAAAGAGGATTAAAAGCAACAGACTCTTAACAAAAAAAGCCAACTAAGACTTTCTAAACAACAGCAATGGAAGACAATTACGGAAGAGTTGCACTTCTTATTGAGCTGTATTAATAAAACATGCCATCAAGATATCGACCGGGTCTCAAAAATGCATACTCTGTTAAAAAAAAAAAAAAAAACCTGTATGAATGCCTTGGAACGCTCCTCAGCCGATCGATGGTGAAATTCAAAACTATCCCCGCTGGCAAAAGGGGAAACATGTTCAGCATCTGCTGCGATACATTCAAAGTGAATGTTGTACATAACCACCCATTCATGAAAAAAATTATCGAGCCAAAGTCGATAGAGAGTGACGGGGAAAGGGATGCTTTTTCTGCTCGGCCTCTGTCCACTTTGTCTGATGATCGATGAGGCAGCCATTAATCAACAAAACCCATCAGACAAAGCACTTCAAAAGTCTAACGAGGATCTCAATATACCCACCGGCACTCACTAAGCAGTTTACATCATGTGGAAAGAAAAAGAAAAACTGCTTCATCCAACCTGATGCACGGGCAGAAATTTGAATCACGTCTACGGTTGGAGTTCCCAAGGTCAAGGTTGATGGATGCCAAGGTGCAGCTCTTTGTTTTAGTTAAGTCTGCCTCTTTGTGCAAACCACACTGTAGAATACAGGATAAAAACCAGCACAGAGTTCATCCATCAAGCTGTCCAACCCAGCTGTATGTCTCTGTTTCTTCACGTGTTTCTTCCTCAGAGCGTGAAAATCAATATGACTACTTTATGGATGGCGCGTATTTGGAGACATGATTACTTTTATAGATCCGACCTGAGCTCGACAACGTGGAAGACTCTTTTATCATTTCACTTTAATTAGCCAGCCAATTAGGCAGAATGCCCCCTGGGGGGATATTTGTAGAAAAACAAGGATGCAGGTGACTTTTAGCCCAGTCGGTGCAGCCTTGAAGTGTGTCTCAGAATAAAATACATGCTAATACATCCTAATTAAAGGGGGAATTTAGTCTGGAAATAAAAGCGACTTTCATTATGGATTTTCAACATGAGGGCAAGAGAACAAGCGCTATAAAAATGGGATTTCCTATATATGAAATAACTAGAAAACCATGGCGATGGATGTTTGTCTTTGGTCGATCCAAAACTAGACTTAACCACCCGACAGATTAATATTTTGACGTCCAACAATAAGCTTGCTTGTTTGTAAGTGAGAGCAGATTAGGAGTGTGTGTTGATGTTGCAGGCACGTACAGGAGATTTAATAACATGCAGGGCGTGCAGGAAAGACTGCACGCTAAGCGGATTACAGCCATCTCAGTAGATGGACGGCTCAGGTGTCAGCATGTCAGTCACAAGCGACGTCCACGTCGACAGATGCATACATCCGTCAATTTGAGCATATTAGCTGGGATATGTAGCGTGCCTGTGGTCACTCAGCAACTAAAACACCTAAAGAAATTTGAAGTAATGCAAAAAGCATGGGTTATATCGTGCAGCAAATTTGTGTTCCATGTTGGAATGATTCCCTTTAGCGACAGGTCCACTGCCGTGTTGAGTGATGAGTAGAGCACTGTTTTCCTGGTCTACATCCCAAATGTATAATTCAGCAGCCCACCAGCAGGGTCAAATTCATTTCCTGCCTCTCGCGTTAAGAGCCCACAGGCACTAAACGACTGCAAACATGCATTGCTGCTGCTGTATATGACAGTTCAATAAAAGCTCACCTTCACAGCTTTACAGGGACTTGAGGTGCTTGGGTGTTTTTTTCACCAAGTTAAATAGTGAATCTCTTGGTGTGTGCAGAAAATAATAAATATATATATATATGATGTAATGCCCTACAAGTTTAACTCTTTTTTTCTTTTCGTTTTTTTTGTACTGGAATGGCAAACATCTATTGAAAGGTTAAGAAAACAATCTCCCTTTAATTTTGTAAATTTATCTACAAAGGATAATTACAGACTCTAGTTAGCTTCATTTACTTGGCTACATTATTTTGATAATAATGTTGGTGTAAAATAGTAATTACTAAAATTGGTGTAAAGATTAAAAAATATTAATATATTTATTGAGTCTTAATTTAGCATTTAAAAACAACAACATAGAGCTGGTAAATTAATTGTATTTGCAATATAATCACAATTTAGTAAAATGCAGTTTTCAAATTGCAGAGGCTGACAATTTTTGTCACATTGCATTTAACAAAAGTAAGACACCAAATTTCTTACTGCAGTCCTTTCAATGGCGGTTATACAGTTAAAGTGTGTTTGCTGCCACATAGAAAGGTAGACAGAGTTGCAGCTAGTAGGCAGAGCCATGCATGATAGTAGAAGTAAGCACTTTTTACAGTAAAGTCGTGCAACATTGGAATCTGGACAAGCAAGCTTTCAAGGTCATGAAAATTCTGAAACATCGCTCAGCTTGTCGTTAGTGCAAAGGAAAGTTTAAATAAAATTGGAATATTGGTTACAAAATGTAGATTTGGGCAAAATAGTTTAGCCCTTGAACGATGTATTAAATCAAACTATCATAAAATGGGAACAAGATGGGATCAATGGTTTGTTTGGAATTTGAATTTTGAAAATTTCAACAGGAATGGCCCACAAAAGTCCCAATAATAAATCTGAAGGTCTGAACAATGCACGGTGGTGCAGTTTGTAATACCGCCTTGCAGCAAGAAGGTTCTGGGTTTGATTCCCGGGCCCAGGGTCTTTCTGCATGGAGTTTGCATGTTCTACCTGTGCATGGATGGGTTCTCTCTGGGTATTCCGGCTTCCTCCCATAGTCCAAAAACATGACTGTAAGGTTAACTGGCTTCTCTAAATTGTTCCCAGGTGTCAGTATGTGTATATGTCTCTGTGGTGTTGTGAACAACATGACCATACCTGACATCAGCATTTAAGCTGATTGCTGCTTGCATAAACAGTAGAACAATCTTTTTACTTTATTCAAAAAACCTTATAGGTTGGTTTATGCTTGAAGCATTTAAAAGGCCACACCCCACCGTACGGCTTCAACTCATCCGGAACTTTCTGCAGCCCACACCAAGAAATGCTCATAACTATACGGACAGATTTGTGCGGAAAAACATTTCTCATGAACAATAGGGTTTGCAAACAAAAAAATTTGCTGACATCTTAAGATTTTTTATTTTTTTTATTTTATCAACAAATTTTGGAAAGAAATGAGTTGACTATCGCTGATGGATGACACGAAGATGCATTGAAAATGTTGGGAACAAACAAACTGTTTTCTGCTTCTACATATGCTGCAGTCTGCGCCCTACACGGCCCCCTCAGAATATTAGCTACAGTGGGGAAAAGTCATGCAGAGATTACATAGCTGCAAACAATGTAGGCAACGCTCTGAAGGTGGATGCATCAAGCATAAACCAACCATTAGTTAGACATAAAGGAACACTTTCCAGTGCTTACAGGATGAGATATTTAATCACGTTTACATGTTTAAATGCAAAAATAGTGTCCATATATAGGGACGAAGAATACTAGCTTTCCAACTTTCAGTAAAGAGAGACCAAAATGCTGTAAATTCTGAGATTACTTCACTCCAACTTTCTAGTTTCCTGTTAAATGCAGAAAGAGAGGCAAAGGCCAAGAAACAAAACGACTAGTTTGTATTTTATTCTACCCTTTAAACATCTTTGTCGTCTAAAATCATATTTTTCTAACTGGAAGAGGTTAGGATAGACTTGATATATTCATCAATGGAAGACTCTAAGCCCAGTGAAGCTCTACAAGTACGGAGGAATTCATAGACTTCTGTTAACGGCCAATTTCCGTTCCAACCAATCAGGTCTTTTACACCACCAACATCCAAGAACCTTCAACTCAAGGCGTTGCGGACAGCCCCCTTCTCATTGCGGTTGGCACCATAAGTCAGCCTGTTTCTGTGTTAAAGAGCAGCCACCTGATGGGGGGGGGGGGGGGGGGGGGGAGTTCTCTAATATATTTACATCCAGACGTCTCAATGTTTGCACAGATGATTTGTGTGTCAATATGTCTGTATTTAAGAGGCCCCAGACAGATAAGGACTTTCTATGTCCCACATCATCCATCATGAAGTCTGGGTAAGTGACAGTGACGGGGTCCAGCTGGTGATCCCCAACACACACACACAGATATACAAATACTTGGTTGGGGCAAGAAAAATGGCAGGCAGCTCCTGCTCATACATGGGTGGAAACCGCAGGGAGCGGCAAACACTCCTTGTTAACCTAACACGAGGGAGGAACCCCCCCAGCCCCCAGTGCTGCAGAATATAAGTAAACAAACACGCAGACTGTGTGATATTATCAGACTGTGTGATATTGGAAATGGTGGGAGGACAAAAAGACACGTGTAGCAGAATACATTTGTTTGCTGCTGGTTGAAAGAACACATTCTTAGGTATGCGTGTATGTGAAAGTCTGTGGAGCTATACTGAAAAGTGTAAATAAGCAGAAGCTTGCTGGATCAGGATTTATCCCCGGCGTAGGGGTCAGGAGGGGTATTATTGTTCCCGCAACAAATAGGCTACTGCAGAAAAAATAAACAGAAGAGCAGCAAGCTAGGAAAAAAAGGTTTACAAACAGCTGAACTTTATTATATAGGTGAGGATATGTGGATAGATACAAGGCATAAAAGATTCAAACTCTATTTTTTCCGCAGTTGCGTAAATTGAAAGAAAGAATCCTATAAAGAGCAAAAAAAACAAAACTGTAATTTTAAGCCTTGAAGTTGGGACTTTCATTTAGACCCTCACTACGTTTTTTGCTGAAAACAACTAAAGCTCAGGCTGTTTTTTTGACACATTTCAGATCTTCAGTGGATAAATTATATAAGATGACAGCCTGCCATATCCCTGATTAGTGTGATGTTTTCCACCTCTCTGCAGGAGTGAAAGGAAAGGGAGAAAACACCTACAGAGTATGTCAAACAAACAGCTTCAAACGATCACTGTATCAAACAGTACAAGTCAAACTGCATGTAAAGTATTGGCTTTTGTGGGCTTAAATATGTACCGGTACCTACAAACATGCTGCACCAAATGTTTTAACATGTTGTAGAAAAGTGTTTTTCTGCCTCTGTCCATAACCTGACAACAGATTTAATACCACTTTGTAACTTATTTTGTAACAGTTTTAAGTCCTATTCTCCAACATTAGACAAAAAAAAAAAACATCTTGTAGAATATAATTGATAAACATTTCTAAAAATTGACATTCACACTCATGCAATAAACTACCATGACTGACTCAATTATATGCAAAATAGTTTTTCACATAACCCTATGCTGCAATATATAGAGATAATATTGTTTTTTTTTTTTTTTATAACTGCACAACAATAATATCCTTTTTTTTAATTAAATGTATCCCAGGTTCATTCAGATCTGTTTTGGTGTTGGAACAGACGCAGGTTGTGTTTGGTTTCCATTAAAACCCATTATTTTGATGCACCCTTACTCAAGTAATGAAGTTTAGTATAAAAACTAAACCAACAAATGTTTTTTTTTTATTCTAGAGACTAATACGATAAACTGATATTTAATCAGCAGAAAGGGAGGGAAAAGCAAATTATATAAAATAGAACTAACTTTAGAAATCAGAGTAGCAGCTTTGCTATGATCTGCTTCTTAAAATGATATGTAGCCAGAGCGTCAAAGCAAGCTTGCTGAGTGCAGCTCTACTAGAGGTGTTCATCAGTTTTAACCTCTTCAATCATTCCCATCTCTTCACATCACATCTCTTGCTCTCATCCTTTCTCCTCTTCAGAGCCATTTCTTCCTTATCATCCCATCTTACACTACTTTTCACTCTTTGCTACAGCGGGCTTCATCTGTATGCTGCTGGCCTTCCCTATTTCACTCCCCCTTCTATCTTACCATCTATAACCCCAAACCCTTGACTCTTTCTCCTTAATGCCTTCCAGTCCTTTCACTACTTTTTTGAGTCAATCTCACCATCACCATCTCTATTTCATCCATCTTCTCTGGCTTTTCTAACTCCAGCTCCTACTTGCAGTCCTCTCCTCCATCTTTCATTCGACATTATCAAGGTTTTTCCCTCTTTGTGCCATAGAAGCTTTCTGATGGCCTTCCTGAAGTATATTTGGGTTTAATGTTTTTATTTTTCAGGTTTAGTTAGACTCAACATTTAGCTTCAACCACAAGCTAAATGTTAATGCTTTTTATAGGTTAGGAATGGAAGTATGGAAGTAATGCATTGAAGAAAATTTAAAGAAAGTATTTTGCAAGCATTTGGGGTTGTACTGCATCTATGATACCCCTAAGAAATCCAGTCTAGACAGACACCCCCACCACCATGAATTGTTCTTCCTGCTGCGCTCTGGGAAGAGACTTTGCAGCATTCGATGCAGGACTAGCAGGTCACTACTTAACTTTTGCACTGCTCTGAACCTTCCACATCAATTCTACATGTTGTTTGCACAATGTTTACATTTTGATCACTGCTGCACTTTATAAATGAAAATGTTCACTTTCACTGCTAAGCTGCTGCTCATTCACTGTCAGAAAGCTGCATAAACTAAATTTTGTATTGTATAAACTGTGTGTATACAAAATGACAACAAAGTTTGTCTAAGTCTAAGTCATTTAGCTTCATGTAGTGTTTTACTCAAATAAATACAAACATTTTTAAATTTTATCTGTGGTGGAAACACAAAAGATCCAAGTCGCTCTTAAAAAAAGATAAAAACTAAAAAAAGATTAAAAGTGTGCGTTTTTAGTATTTAACCAAATAAAGGCTACTTGTCTTGTGTTGAAATTCCCATAAAAAACTGCAGTTTGTGATGTTTAGTAAAAATCTACAGATGTCAAATGCATTCCTTACCTCTCCGTTGTGCAGCCCAGCCCCCTCGCCACCATTCAACACCAGTGGCTGATTGTCGTTTTCATCCAGGACCTTCATTGGTACTGGCGGTGGCGACTCTTCTTCTGGCTCCTCTGCAGGCTTCTGTGAGACAGCGGCAGCATTATCGGAGCACCTTTTGGCCTCCATGTCAGCGCTGTGACGGCTCTTCTTTCGCAGGTCCACGGAGGCGTACTCCACCCCCTCGCACAGCGGGCCTCGCTCTGGGGTGCAGGGGCTGGGGTGGCCGTTGACAAGGGCAGGGGCCTGAGGTGGAGGTTCATTGGGGCTCGGCTGGATGGCACCGTTGGCGAGGGAAGATTGCAGGGAGACGTCTTTCATCTCCTTGACTGTCTCATACAGAGAGTCCTCAACGCTGACGTCTCGAGACGCCACCTCAATCTCCTTCACCACCTGGGTACCACACAGACTCATCACTTTGCTTTGCAAGTTACAGAGCAACAAAAAATCTTCTGGTTTCTCACTGTGACATCATTTTATTGACGATACCAGTCTCACAATGAAAGTTTCATTTAAACGTAGTAAAAACAGGAGGTAAGGTGACTTTAAACGCTGACCTCATAGGTGCTGTCTCCTGAGGCGGGGGGTCTGTCCTCCGTAGGGGCACTGCCAGGAGGGAGACTGGGAAGCTCTCTGTCCTGAGGACATTTAGAGGACCTGAGCTCTGATTGGCTGGAGAGGAGATCCTCTGACAACTGAGGGCTGGTGTCCTGCGTGTCTGAGAGGACTGTCGATTGAGACAAAAATATATTTTGGTTCTGTTGCAAACAGGATTTATTTCTCTTTGCTGTCATGCATCAAGAGAAACCACTGACCCCTCAGGACATGGACTCCAAACAACCACTGAAATGTATGCTTATACATATGCAACTAAGATGCTTCAGGTCCAACCAGAGAGGTTATTTTCCCCGCAAACACTTTGTGAGAGTTTTCCCTTTGTGTCATGACTTCATGTTGAGGCTACATTTCTCTGCTTACTTGTACCGCTGGTTAGAGGACCGTTGTGAGAGCTGCTGACTGCCGCGTCAGTCACTGGACTGTCTGCTGATTGGCTGATCATCTCCCTCTCCGACACCTGCACAACAAAGGATGAGATGATTGTCATTGCAGGGAGAGCTCACCTCGCCACGGAGCTAAAACCAGTCAGTACTCATCCAAGCTTGGACAGAATGGGTGACTCTCAAACCTCAGTGCAAAGCAGAATCAAAAGAAGCATGTATAATGTAAAGAAGGTATAATTTTCTCATATCTGCAGTACCAGCCCATTTTTTTTCCTGCTTCCCACCCTCTTTTATCTCTTCTTCCCTGAGCTATTCTGGTCACACTACTTTAAGTTCATTATCTAAACATTATTCATGCCTGATTAAATATCAGTTTTTCTTGATTACCAAGGAAAGACTTCAATAGATAGCTAGCAATTTCAGTATGCATAAACAACAAAGGAAAATGCGAACTAAATCAGGCGTGCTACATGTTTTTGACTCACATTATGATACTACAGAGTGTTGAAATTTCCTTGAATAAACGTAAATAAACTGTCAGATAGACATATTTCATTTCATGTTTATGACCTAAGCTGAACTGAAGACAGCAACACTGAGTCAAGAAAAGAAGCAAAGTTCATCCAAGGAGGGTAAACCACACTAAAATCTGTTGGCTTGTTTTTACCAAACTTCCCTCCACAAAAACCTCAGGGACTCTGAGCAACACCTCTGCAGCTGGCAGCTTGTCAGTCTTGCACAAGGACGCTCCAGTCCTTTCACCTAAGCACTGCAAACTCATAGTAACATCATGCAAGCTTTTAAAAACAAAACGAAGTCAGAACTGCTGCTAAAATTAATCTTCACCATTCATAATCCCAAATAACAGGAGAAGAGTACACCAGGTAACAGAGGATGTGCTGCATACGTTTTTAAAAACAGAGAGGACATCTGTAAACATGCAGTTAACAGAACTCTCTAATTCATGTGTCAAAATCTTCACTCTGTTATAGAGTTCAGAAAATCTGAAAACCTCACTAAAGGTGTGAGCCAGGAAGGTTCTTTGTTTAGGTTGTTGTTTTCATGCTGCATATTGGAGAATGGTGCATCAGCAGCTCTACAACCCCCCCTAGTGGTCATACACTCTCATAGCTGCTGTTTTCAATGATGTAATGTTTTAACTGTTTTATAACCTTATTATTGTCTGGCCATTGTTTGGTGTCTATTAAACAAAAGAAACAATGACACCTTTCAGTGATCGCGCTTTCTGCTAATCATAAAAAAAATGTGATAAGCAGCAACATGTCAAATATGTCGTCATTAAGCGTTATCTTTGGGTGAATATCTGCAACTTCATGATGTGTGTGTTTTTTTATTCTGCACAAAAAAATTAACGCGAAATTGTGCTAAATATGTTATTATTGAGTCTAAATACAAAGCAAATAATAAGGAAGCATAAGATGCTTCCTTATAATGTGGACACACTGCAGGTGAGAGAGGAAAAGCACATTACTTATGCTCACAGACAAAGACCCCCATTTACTCTGCCAGGCTTGACACGGTCCAACATACAAATGGGCAGCTCTTATGACAATCTGGCAAGTCAGCAAATTATGTGCACTGGGTTAGAGAGAAGAGAATCAAATGGGGAAATCACCCGGAGTGTGCGACAGACAGAGGGACAATAACACAGCCATCAATTATGTGATACAGAAAGAGACCAAGAGGATGTCATTCAGGCTGTGAAAGGTGGACATTTGCTGGATTTCATTGTGTTCAGGTTGTGGAAGTATGGATTGTGATGTAGAGGACAGGGTGTCATTAATAGAAGTGAAAATCTGTGAGGTCACCTCGATATATAGTCCTTTCAGCTCACTGAGCTGAATTACAGTAATTTTATTAAACAAAACAGCATCAAGAGTAAAATATCTGATCTGGAAATTTTAGCTCTTCATACCTTTGAAGAAGAGAGATTCTGGCCCTGATTCCTTTTCCCTTTTAAAGTACTCATTAGAGAGTCAGAGTTAAGCAGCTGCTCTTTCTTGGAGAGAGCCATTCAAAGTTTATCATGGCCATAAACTTTGTGTTCTTCCCAACCCATAGAAAGTACTTGTCATCCATTGTTTACAAACAGACACATCTCTTAAACGATTTTGCCATAAACAAAGCTTTTAATTGCAACCTTTTCTTATTTAGTTATTTATACCTATAAAGATTATTCCTATCTCAGATTGTCAATGTTTAACTGTGTCTTTTTCTGAGAAGAGGCCACTGGAGAATTAGCTGATTTTCTCACAGAAAGTAGTCCTTGCTAAGTGTCATCACTAAATGAAGGCACAGTTGAAGTATTCAATATGGTTTTATTCACATAGAAAGTACACCTGATTCCTGAATAAGCTTTCGTTCTACTTCTGTCTTTGCAATGAAGTTTAAACCGAACCGGGCACTGAGCTTTTGTCCATGAGTCTTATTAAAGTGAAATATTGACTAACTATTAATATGCATTGATCATTGACTAATATATAAAAGGTCAAACCTGAGAAAAAGCAAACCTACACAAAATGAACATAAAATATCTGTGTTGATACCAAACTGTAAAGGATGAGGGGAAAAGGGGATAATGGCCCCCCAAAAAATAAAATAAAATAAAATAAATGTTACAATCACGTGGATTAAAATTGAGACCAGAATTAACAATCTGATATTTGTGTCATGCAGCCCTCCTTAGAATAACAGTTTATGCATAGTACTGGTTTTTCTAAAATGCATAGATCTCACTTACTCCATTAACAAGGTTTTCTTGGTCTCCTGTAGGCTGTCCATCTTTTGCTTTCTTCTGCCTTAAGGAAAGAATAATGAAGAGATAAGTGAAAGGAAATAATAAAAGAAAATAAACTGAACAAGAACTGATTCTTTTTTGTTGTCTTTGGCTATAACACCTGATCAAATCTTCGATACAGCCTAAAAAGCATCAACCTTGTATGTGCACACTGCTGACAAGGAAGACTTTGTCCTTTAGGTATAAAAAAAACAAAAACACTCTTTGTTCGTTTTGAAAGTTCCACTGGTGCAATCTGATGCAATCCAGTGCAACAGACCTGCCAATAGTTTTTTTTTTTTTTTTTTTTTTAAACAAAGCCTCTGGGCTTCTGTCGGGCAGGGAGAGGCTTTGATAGCAAACACGTTAAATTTACAATAACAGAAGGATAGAAAATAATACACAAATTAAACTAGACACATATAGAAAGGAGGGACAGACAGAAAGAGTATGGGTGCAACTCAATAAATCAAAGTTTTATCCAAAAATGTTGATTCATTATAGCAGCTCAGGGAACCAGAAGGCTACTGTGGTTCTGCTAAGGTGGTCAAGAAGTCCAGCTTGCTTTCATGGAGGTATAGCTGGTATAGAGAAGTATAGAGCACAGCTGCACTATTGACTGCAGTGTTTCTTATGTTGCTCTACTGGGTTTGACTCAGGCACAATGGCAGGGCGGTAGTGGTTTATAATAAATTGATCATTTCAATATGTTGATTAAATAGTTAATGGTTCATATGCAAAATGAAAATATCTACATGTTCACCTTTAGGCTACACCATCTCCAGCTTCACAGTCAGAATGAGAACAGATGATCATTTATTTTGTTTTATTTATTAGGATCACTGCCATTTTTAATTTGACTGCGTTGTGATATACATGTGAATGATTTTGTCAGATGGCCATATGACACTGAATTATATTTATCCTTGACTTGCAAACTTAATTAAATAGAAATCATATGAAGAAAGATTCTGTCATATGGGGAAACAACATATCATTACCCAAACAATTATCACTATATATTGTATTTTTATAAAGCTGGTGATTTACACCCCTTGTACTTTTAACATCTTGCAGATATCGATAACATTCATGAATGAGCTTTGCAAGGTTATGTGTTTCTGAGTTGCTTCCACTAGGGGGAACTGCTGCTATGGTGGACAGCAGTTTGTTTCCAAAGGTGCATATTTGTTCAATTAAGGCTGTTAAAGGGCCAATTACACTGACAAAACAACCAAACCTTTTTTTTTCTTTAAAAGTATGAAAATTTTAATAACTATTGGTGAAAAATTTATATAAATAAACTCTTAGTATATGAAACATACTTCCTGTAAACTAATGCCTATACAAAAAAGCATGTAATAGTTAAAAGATGCAATATAAAGCAGAAATGTAAGGCTAAAAATTCACAGTTTTCAGTCCTACTAGTCTTGCCAACCTGCTAAAAAACAAAAAAAGTTGCATTTTATAATAAAATAAAACATTTAACATATTTAGGGCCTTTAGTGGTTATGCTCATGTCGGTGTGTGTGATGCAGCTCACCCCCGGCAGCTGGCACACAGCCCCAGCAGCACAGAGAGCAGCAGCACGCCAGTGACGATGCTGAGGGCCACGACCCACACCAGCTGCTCACTCTGCGGCCATGATGCCGTGCCGCTGGCTGCTGCCTTCCCAAACCCGACCGCTCCCGCCTCCGAAAGCCACCGCACACCACTCAGCAACGGAGCCATGACACATCACACTGTATGGGCTGAGGACATCGGACAGGAACCAGCTGGGAAATCACAAAGAAAAACAAACAGTTGTTTATCATTTTAGCTAGTCAGATTTCCAAATGCTGAAAATTAGCTGTTTTTCCAATTGAAACTTCCCCCAATCTAATCCAGAATAGATGAGATCAGCATACCAGATCAATGGTCACAGCAGGGGATAAAAAAATGCTTTACAATATTGTGTAGTTAAAGATCACAGAAACCAAAAAACTTTCAATTAAAAAGAAATTGTAAATCTAATAATATCTATGAACATTTACAGTTAGTCAAACATTTCTGCTCGTCGTGGATTTAGAAGAAAAAAATGATTCAACCAAGAACTATGGTTTTAAAATGTGACTGTTTTCTTCCAAAAGATAAAATCATAAAATGGAAGAGTCAGATAAAAATGTGGTAAGTCAAACTGCTTACCCTTTTTGCTGAGCAAGGCATATGTTTTAATTTTTTTTTCTTTTTCCTTTTATAAGAAGGTGTTTTCACTGGTAGCTTAATGAAGGCTTTGGGATTTAAAGTGCCTCCTTGCCATAATCCTAATCTGTAGCTCCCTCTACTGTCTGATTCCGTTTGGGACTCAGGCTGGATCAAATCCAACACTTAAATACACATTTAGTCAAACAAAAAAGAATATTTTGTAAGTATTCTGTAGAAAAAAATAATTATCTTTAGCTTAACTTTCATTTTCTTTTATTTTAACTGTTAGATGTGTATTACATGATCTACAGTTTTTTTTTTTTGCTACTGTTTGTTGCTTTTTTTTCTTCTTCTTTTACTAAAGTCGAACATCCGATAACTCTGACTAAAGTGGAAGTGGAGGCCGTGTCTGGTCAGAAGTCAAACATGACGTCTGAGGACCGTATAGAAAATGACCTACTAGAGTTAAGGGTGTTGAATTTGCTGGTTGAAATTTGTTTTGGTGTCAACCTAAAGATGTTACTGTGTACAGGCGGTCCGGGATGTGGCTCAGTGAACTCTGACTCTCATTTTTTAACTTTAGGAGATATTTTTAGTTACCTTGAAAATACCAGAGAACGAAGAAAAAGCCTCATTAATTTGGATGTTAGACCGAGCTGGACAAAACGGCAGTGCTCTAAATCTTTAAAGCTCAGTGATTAAGGAGCAGCAGTAGTTCCTATAGCAACCATTTGATTTTAACTTAATATTGATCAAACAATATATGGACTTTAATAAATGCTCTTGCTTTAACAGGAACCCATAAGCTTTGGTCAGAATATAAAAATATTGTTTTGTGTTTAACAAAACAAAATTTGCAAAAATGTAATAAATAAAAACTCCAGAGGGCTATTTTACAGAACCAAGATAATGGATTAAGTTGGGATTTTCTGAACATCCTGGTTTTATTAAACCACATAACAGCACAGTTAAGTTACCATGGCAATTCATTCTGTTCAGCTAGTATTCCATCCTGGTGGCGCATCTGCTCAAAGTGACACCGATCAGAAACCAATTAGCTTTGTCAGGGATCTTGTCTGTCTATTACGGTAGCCTTCACCATTAATAACTTTATAATTATTACTGTTTGATCTGTTTTTAAAGACGGCTTCTCAGTTTGACAGGAAGCTCTTTAATAGACTATTGATGTGTTGAAGAGATTGTAGAAATGCGCATATTAGATTTTTTCCCCAACAATTAACTCCACCATAATTTTTGCTTTTCTGAGAATGTCTCTATGTAGACTGATGGCTCCCAAAATTCAGCACTGCAGGAACAGAGCCATGCCTTTTCAGTGACACAGAGGTTCTGTGTCGGGCTCTTTATGCAGTAAGAGATGCTGACAATCTTAGCAGCCACTATTTGCAGCACCATCTGAAGTGTGTATTTGGCAGTGAAAGGATATAGACATAACTTCATAACCTTCCCTGGACACAGAAGAAATAACTACATCAAGGAAGGATTCCATAATACTGCACCGAAAAAGGAACTAGGTTAAACATGAAAAAAAGAAACAGGTGGACTACTTTTTTAATTTTTCTACAGGATCCCTGTCATTAGTGTGCACACATTAAGGTAGAGTGCCTTATGCAGCACATGAATGTGGAGGACCGGAGGAGTCAATAAAAAAAGAAAACCAGCCATTTCAAAGTTAACATTTAAATCATGCAATTTAAAATCTAATTTGAAAAGCAGTTTTTTAGTTGCACAGTTTAAATTTAATTATTAAAGAAGAATGGTAAATTGTATTTATGAATCCATTAATAATTACTGGAATTTGAAAACAATATTTTCAAATCCCCTTTCTAAATGGAAATTTAAAAACCAAACTTCTACTTACAAATACCTTTTCGTAATCAGACATTTAAAAAGGTTACTCCATTTCCAATTTCCTTTCAACTGTTTTTTTTAAATCCTTCTTAAAATTGCATTTTCATTTTGCTTAACCAATTCTAATGACCTTTTCTGTGACCCTTCTGGTCCTAGAGCACAATGGAAAGCAGTAAAACCCTCTTATTGGTTAGACTACCACACTTGGTTAACAAAAGTTAGAAGTTAAATTAAATGCGTTTTTTAATTTTTTTATATTCAGTGCCGAATAATACAACTTATATGAACAACAAACAATTCATCTAAAGTGTTTTTATCACCCCCTACAAAATACCAGTTAAGTGTATAAACATTCAGTTCTAGTTATTTAGAGGAACAGCTGTTAAAGTTTGATGGTGATATCAAATGTTAAAAGTATCATTAACCAAAACCCTGCCTTACCAAAACTTCATTTGCAATTTTTTTTTATTCTTCCTGGTACTAACTAATCCATTAAAATATAACCAAACCTTACAGCTGCTCTGTTATCTTGTTTTCTTACTCTGCCTATTATACACAAAGCCCAGAAAAAAATAGTTTCAAAGTAAGTTCTAAAAAACAAACAAGGACATTTTAATTCAAAAGACATAAAACAAAATGCTTAAATCAAATGGATGTTTAAAATTCTTTTAGCTAAAGACTTGATGAGTTTGAATATTTATCATTTTAGAACTTCAAGGAGGAGTAATATATTACCATAAATATTACCAAAAGTAAAGAATGTACATACTTCATTTAGTAATTTGGTTTAACAACATTTGGACAACGTCAGGTCTTACTTCGGATGACCTTATTTTGAGGTAGAAGTCTGTTAATATTAACATAGTTTATATCAACTTCATGCTATATCTAGAAACGGCCAGCAGGTGGCAGGGCAGAGCAGAGTATGGCTGCATTGCAGTCTGCTGCAGTGGCCCCCCTCACAACAGAGCCTCCACAGCCAGCATGAGCCCTGTGCACAGCATCAGAAAGCTCCTCACGTCTGCGTCTAACACCTAAAGTTAGGCTTCGGTGAACTGATGGAACCCCTTGATTTTATCACAGATGATTCATGGGGGCTGCGGGGAGCGGGGCCCGACGGGGGGGAGGTGATGGAGGAGGGAGGGAGAACGTGTGATTCTCAAGAAATGTCAAACAAATAAATGTGAAGAGGGGTGGTATGTCGCCTAGGGAGACTGTGCTGTTATGTTCACAAGGGTGCAGAGATAAAAACGGAGGCCAATGAGCAAAGATCACACACACTCAGGAGTGTTTGGTTTCTAGATATTTGCCTGCTTTTTGCATGTCTTTCAAATCATAGCTGTTCCATAGAAAATCGAAGAAATCAAGCTCTTCTTTCCTGCTTTGTTTTGCATGATTCAAACTCCTGTCAGGCTGTACGTACACAAGGCACGCATGTTGTTCCAGCATTCAACAACTTCTTTGTCTCTCCCTGTCCATCCTATGCTAATGTGTCCTGGAAGCGTAGGAGTCTGGGGCTAGCAGGCAAGGAAGTTGAGCTTGTGTGACTCGCACTGAGCTGCAGAAGTCAAATCAAACTTCTCCCTCAAAGAGTGTTTCTGTTTTTGGCGACACCATGACAACAGTATTATGTTGCTTTCTTTGTGAGTGCTTGTTGAGGAGGAGAAAACATCCTTACCTCAACACTGAGGATGATTAGTCAAGGGTGGCCTCGCCTGGCAGGCAGCAGATAAAAATTAGAAGAAGGCAGGGGAAGGTTATTACCTCAGGGAGTGGGGATTGGCTTTTTCCGGGAGTGAGTATCAGCGACCGTAGACAGCAACTCGTGTAAGTCGGGAGGTAATGAGGGAATTTGTGAGCAAATTCATAACAGGCTATCTGAAAGCTCCAACATGCACATACTGGTGAATCTCATTAAATTAGTTTAACACTGGAAAACAATCTCTTCCACTAGTTTAACTTACAATGGGATTTCATACAAAGTGATTTACTTCCGTTGGGATTTTTGATGATTATGGCTTACAACTAATGAAAAGAATACTACCTGACAGTTATTAAAATGATCACTGACAACCTTTACAAGAGTTGTACATCTATTGCTAAAACTGGCTAATTTGTGCGGTTTCCAAGCATATAGAGAAGCACACAGAGAAGACGGTAACACCTGTCAAACTCTTATCTATTAAACCCCCTTTTATTGCTGCTATTTGCATAGATCAAGGGTCTTCAATTCCAGTCAAGTCCAGTTCTGTTTTTAGCAAAAGAATGACTTCAAATGGAGGATGTAATTCAGCCATTTGATTTAGGTGTGTGGAAGCAGAGACACCTGATCTTGAGGCTTACAACTGTAGACCCATAATGCCAAATTTGCCAGATAAGGGGTCATGTGTGCTTTCAAAGCTTGCTGAGGCAAACAGGCGAGGCTGAGAAGACCAGGCCTTTGCTGAAAGAATATGCGCTTTCCTCTCCATATGGGTGAGCTCTGTCATACCCTCAATAAGCCTTCATTTATAAATCAATTTTATGCTAACAACCAGAGAGCTTCAAACCAAAGCTACATTCCTCCAGTCGCACTGGCAAACTGTATGCTGATACTAACCATGCTGAACTTAATGCCCTTGACAAACATTTCATATTACCACTTTTTCTTCAATCTTATGTAATATTTAAAGCTCCATATGATTATCAGAAATGACTTTTAAGCTATTAGTCTTAATATGAT